GTGCCAGCGTTAATCAATTTATTTTGTTGCAAGCTTTAATTTTTTTGACAGCAAAAAAAAAAGAAATGTTCCAACTTATTTACTTTTTCTTGTTTTTATCATCATTTTGTTGCAGAAGCCCGGTATGCCACCAGCAACATATGAATACATTCTGACCGGTCTTGGCGCTTCAATATTTGCTGTTGACCAGCAAGGCTATGTTTACCTTAATGTACCTGACGTTGACGCTGATCCCCCAAATCCGTCAACTTATCAACTGAATGTTGGTTCTTATTCAATAAAGAAAAAAAAGAAGAGGAAACACTGATTTCTTTCAGCTACTGTATAGTTTAAAAAAAAAAAATTAGTATCAGTTTTGTGAAAATAGGGCGACGAATGCATATTCAAAATGTGCACAGCAAAGTTATGCATTGAGAAAAGAAAAAGAATTTTAAGCAGCTTTCTCCTTTTTTATCTTTCTTTCTTAAAAAAATGACGATAATTTTTGAGCTGTAGAGCGAATGACCGTTAAAGCGACGGACTAGTAGAAGAAGGATGAGAAGGCGACGAAGCAGAGAAGGGGTGAGGTGGGAGATAGGAGAGAAAAGAAAACAACAGCTATATGTGGCTGAGGTTACCTGTAGATGAGATATACTGGTGAAAATCACTATGTAAACAGTTTTTTCCTACTTTTATTCCTTTCAATTAGTACATGTATTTTTTTTGATTGCGATCTGAATTCTTCAACGAATTCAAAATACAGTAAACTTAATTTTCATTCGTTGTTCATAATGTCTTTGACCGTCGATGAAGAGAACTGTTCCGATATGATGCGCTTTTTTTTCTCCTGTTATGCTTATCGTTGCTATTTCGTTTTTCAGGTCTACTTTAACGTTTCACCAAATATAGGGCTGAAGTGTAACTCTCTTAAAATTCTTTTTTTTTTTGACCATCACTACAATCACTGCTGAAGGGGGAAGAATTTTATTTTGTTTATACATGTATATCTATACCTTTCTATTCTTAAAAAAATTTTTTTTCGTTAAAAAAGAATCAATGTGCGCTGTTGGAATGGCAATTAAGTGTACAGTGGAAAGAAACCAAACCCTTGTTGCTGACCATAGCTGATTACTCCCTCTGTTTTATATTTTGCTGTTTTCGCTTAAAACTGTCCTCATTTTTATCTGTTAAGTATACAGAACTAACTGTCACACAGTAAAGCTATAACAGATCAGGAATGTTTTTGAGGATGTCAGTAAAACCACTCTTAGTTTATAAGTTTGTTTTTACTTCTTTGTAAATTCGTAAAATTTAAAGCAGAAAAAAGTGGAAAGAAGTTAATTTTTTTATAAAATACTGATGTCTTATCTAGATTGAAGCCCGTGAAGTAAACACTACTCCTATTCGAAGTAGTGAGCCAGTATCAATCACCATACATATCATGGACGTTAATGATAATCCTCCGACATTTTCGTCACCGATATATACAGCAAACGTGAGCGCATTTGGGGCTGACAGACCGGTCATTGAGGTAAATGGTTGTGTCATACCTTAATTTTTTTTTCGTACAGTTAGAAAACAAATTGGGGATCTTGCGCATCTGACTTCTTTCTTCAATTTTTTTATAGGTATATGCAATAGATAATGACGCTGGAAAGTTTGCGCAAATTGAATATAAAATAGCATCAGTAACTAATGGTGCACAAGCACATTTTCGTTACGATGCAGAAAATCGTATGCTCAGAGCCATGGGACAATTGACACCTGGAGAGCATTATCAAGTCTCATTTTATTTACTCTTTTTCAGTAGTAATCTTTTGTTTGATTTACGTACAAACTGCAAGTTTAACTGTTATAAGTCGGAAGCAATAATATTTTAATTTTGCTGCTGATCAAACACTTAGTTTAGGTGGTTTTGGAAGCTCGGGATGGTGGCGGTCTAACCAGTCAAGCAGTGATTATTGTTTTGGCTTTGGGTGATTCTCATTCTCTAATGTCTAATGCACTAGAATCTAGTGTTGAATTTATGGGTACACCAGCTATGCCAATATTTCCAGGATTTGTTGTTACAACTCCAGCCAGTGCTGGTAGGTTTAAAAAAGATGTTTACTGTGAATTGACCTCGCTTTTCTCACATTTGTATCCTTCTATGGACTGTCCAGTGGCA